CCTCCTCTACCAATTGTGCCCAGCCAGGTTCACAGCACTTCAACTGCGCTAAAGCAACAGAAAGGCGGTCAAGAATCAGTCCTGAAATGAACTTTTTTCTCTGTATATTCACAAGTGTTTCAACAATTTCTGTGAAATATTGAAATATTTCAATTCCAATGATGAAGTAATTTAGTAGCAGCTGGCTGAACTGAACAAATAATCAAAGCTATCAGCTCTCAGCTCTATTTGTGGCGACTGCAATTCCAGCAACAGAAATCGTTGTCAATTGAAACCGTTTATCGTGTTGCTACAAAGTCAATCATATGTTTTTGTTAGCAACAATGCCATGATTGAGCTCCTAAGTAGCTTGGCCTAAACTTTTCACTTCTTGGCATTAGCATCGCAGCAGCGTTGCAGCAGCTACCTAAGTATATAATATATACAATCAATTTGCTATCAGGGCTCCAGGGGGAGCGCAATAAAGAATTTTCTTTTCTTGCTAATTTTTCGTTACATTTTTCTTTCTGCTGCTGCTGATGCTGCTGCTGCTGCTACTTCCTTTTGCTTTTTCTTCTTCTTTTTGGTTGTTTGTTTGTTTCTGGTTTTTGTTGACATTTCTTGAGAGTTTTCACCCTGTTTGGCGACCTGCTGCTTCCACTCTCTTTCTCACACTCTCTGTCTCCGGCTTGGGTTCTTATGCCATTGCGTTCATTGATAAAGAAAAGAAAAGAAAAAAACAAAAAAAAAGGAAACGCTGGAAAATTGTTTCTGTTGGCCCGCTTGTTGTTATTATTGTTATTTTACTGTTGTCTTTTGCACGTCCAACCTCTCGACACGTGTCCACGTGGCCCGTGCGCGCATCGCAAAGGCAAAAAAGGAAAACTTTTCCCATTCGCTTTCGGGCCTTTCGCCGAAATCATTTGATTCCCAAGTTTATTTTCAAGTTGCCTTTCACTGACTTTTTCCCACAACTTTCGACACAGTGCTCGTCCGAATATCTGGCGCAGTGTTTTGCATTTAAATATACTTTTGGCAATTTCAATAGCATTAGCACTCGGTTAACTAACCCGTGCCCCGACCTCCATTCAGCGCTCTTCAGTTGGCATTTTCTTTTATGATCTCGCGTGGCAATGCTCTCAAAACGTTTCGTGTTTATTAATTTCCCCAACAGCCATTAGCTGCAACAAACCACTTTTGGCACACTGACAAATAGCGGCAAATTATTAAGTTCCAGTTCTACGCCAGCGACCGATTCCCTGTGCCCGGAAATGACCCAGTGCCAAAGCAGTTTGCAAACTTCCACCGCCCGCCCGACCGCCCGACCGCCGGACGCCGCGAAAAAGAAAACCAACTTTTTGGGCAATTTCTTTTTTTAGCTGCCCGCCAACAATTAATTGAAATTAACATATTTTGCTTTTATTTAAGGCAACTTATCAGGCGAAGCAAACCATTTCAGCCCAACCTTTTGGGCTGGCCTCCCTGCTCCATTCCGCCTCCTCCTCCCACACACTGTCGCGCTAATATTTCAGCTGTCATGTCGATTTCCATGGCTGAATTTCTCTGCAGCGCGAAAAGTTTTCATTTTTTGAAGTTCTCCTCCAACCCTTATCCTAGGGTTAGGCAATCGCGTCTATGCTGTGTGGGCGTGGCAGCTGTTACGCATTTCAATCAGCATTAAGTTGCTCCATTCGCTTGGCCATGGGAGTTGACTTTAAAACAGTTCATATCTTTAACAATTGCTTATCGAATTCGGTTATCGATAACCTGCAATCGTTTGCTAAATAATGCCGCTTTAGTCAACGCTCAGCCCTGAACTATGAGAATTATCTGAGCTTAAAGATTCTAAATTAGTTATCGATAATATTAATCGATAAGTTGCTGATTCGTTTAGAGCACCTTTGGAAGAGTGCATGCTGCTTGTTTCCTCTAAAAAGCTCAATTGATCTGAAATTAATCTACTTTTAAGGCAACTCATATGAAATTTGGCTTTTTATGTAGCTTTTCTTAAGATCGTCAAAATACATTATATCAAAATTAAAGCTTTAATGCGCTTGAGGAGGTGTGTTGTGTGTGTTTACATTTGATTGCTAACTCGAAAAACTCAATATTAAGAGCATTTAATGAGCTTTAAGCTTTTAAGCACAGTCATTTTCTATAGCAGTCACAACATAATCATCATTTTTATCTATTTTGGTTAATTTAAAAAGCTGAGCCAAGTAAAGCGCCGTCTCGCATGCCGTGCGCCAAATTGATTGAGCTTTCACTAGATGTTCTGCAAACATTTTACGCTTCAACTGGGCCAGAGATTCAGCCCGCTCAAATCACAATTCCCGACGAACACGCCAGAAGGGGCTAACCGACTGACTGAGTGGCTGCCTGGGTGGCTGCCTGGTTGGTTGGCTGGTTGGCTGAGCAGGCAGGCGCCATTTCCCAGGCACCACAACTCCCATTTCTGAGGTCTCGGGTGCATAATGTGGACATTGCTCATACGCCACCGATTCCCCAGTTGCCTTATTTGCTTGTGCTTGCGTTGGCTTTGTAGTTAGTATTTAGTTTGTGTTATTGTTTGCTCAGCTCCTGTTGTTCCCTCTGCCCTTTATGAAAAATTATACAAAACTTTTAACTTAGTGTGCGCGCAGCTTAACAATTATGGGGCCAGGCAACGGTCGCCTAGGTGGAGCGATACAGGCCCAAGGCTTCTCTGTGTGTGTGTGGTGCGTGGCTTAACAGCAAATGAATTATGTGCTTGTCATAAGTGCGCGTTCTGCACGCTGTGCATTTGATTTGCCTTTTAAACGGTGGGCGTGGCTGGATTACCGCGCAACAGCAAATCAGGTCAAGCAGCATGGGCCACGCACAGAGCTGCCAATGATGCCATTAGTGCAAAGCCGAGAGTTGCAATTGGCCGGAACTCAAAAGCAGCAACACAACTCATCGTTAAAGTGAAGAGTTTCCGACTCGATTTTCAGGCAACATAGTTGCTCTAGAGTTTCATGCCCGCGAATACAGTGTAATAAGATATTTTCATGTTAACCTCAGTGTTGGCTCTTGAATTGCTCTGGCGATTCGAATGCGAATCAATGTGTATTGCTGGCATGTGTGGCGCGCGCTGACATTCGAGTCTGCGACTGCCGCCTAAAGGTAGGCAATGGTTTGTGCGTTGCGTGGGGCATTCATGTTTAAAGAGGTGAAAGCAATCTGTGCTTTGTGCCCGGTGTCTCGCCAAGTATTTTAGCGCGATAATTACGCGCTACTCAAGTTCCGGGCCGCTACCTATAGCGTCGGGCTGGCTGTGTGGGCGGCGAGCCCAGTTAGCCGTGAGTACTACGCGTTGGCTGAACTTTCGGCATTTCTGTGGAATTCAATTTCAAAGCTATATCATTTTCATTTAATTTCACGCTTTCAATTTGCCAACCGAGCGACGACAACACATACACACAGCTATAACAACTAGTGCCGCCTGCTGGAGGGTCTTGTGGGCTATCCTTTTTGACTGGCTCTCCACGTAGCCGTCCTTTGCCACAATGCCTTTCACTGCTGCTTGTGTATAGCTCGCTGTGTGTGTGTCTAGATGACCTCGCCCGTGCCTCGCCCCTGCCTCGCCGTTGGCGTGCCATAATAGATTTTTGCACCTATTGTCTGTAAAACGAAACCGTAACGAGCTGCCAACATCGCCGATACCCTTAATATGCATGTGGAAACATATTTTGCTTTACTTTTTGCCATCCATCAGCTTGATTGACAGGCCATCATATTTGAGTATTTCTCGTTTTCGGATTGACTATAGATATTATTTTCGCACCAGGCAGTCGATAGACCCTGCCAGCACATGTCTGCGGGGTATGGCAAGTGCATTGAGGGCTGCGCATTGCATGATTGGATGCTCTTTTGATTCACATTCTATTTTGGGCTGTGCGTGGATCTCGCTTGGATCCAATGAAAACGGTTTTCTATTCACTTCAATGTCTAAATTTATTTTTTTTTTTTTGCCAACAAGTTGAGCTGGCAGCTTCAAAGAACTCGTCTCATATTCATGAATTGTTTCATAAGTTTTTAGGTATAAATTTATTTTTTCTTCTTTTCATTTTGTTGAGCTTAGTTCAAGTAAACTGAATTTGAAGGCACTAATACAGGCAGCAGTGTGTGTGTTGTATCAAATTGCAGGTTGTGGGCTAGTGTTAAGTGGGCTAATGAAGGGCTGAGGTGAGTGTAGAGCCATCTAGCGGTGGCTAAGTGTGATTGGCTGAATGATGATGAAAACTTAAATACTTTATATTATGAGAAACTAACGTAATCAATTCTTGCTTTCTCCCTCCATTTCTCTCGCGTTTTCTCGCTCCTGCGTTGCCCTCGCACTTTTGTTAATTACAATATATAGCAAAAACTTTGATTAATTAAAAGTAAAGGGAAGCGCAACAACAAGAGCAACGCCAGCAAAAACAACTCGCGGCACAAAAGCAGCTCGATGTCGAGGAGCGACACTCAACTCATCGTGGACTTTTTGTGCGTTAGCCTTGTTCGCTCGCTCGCCAAGGACACCTTTCAATAAACAACAAAACAAGCAGAAATACAACAAATAAAAAAAAAAAAAAGAACGGAAAAAAAACTTTAACAAATTTGCAGCAAATCATCGAAATGGAATTTAGCATCGGAATTGCCAAGCATTTAGCGAGCTATAACAACAGCAGCAGCAACATCAACAGCAGCAGCAACAGAACCACCAACAGCAACAACAATAGCAATCAGATCTCGATGAAAAATTGTTCTAAATCTGTGCTAAACAATCGCTGCAACAAAAACAACGACAAACAACAACTGAATATCAAGAGCGAAAGCGACAACAACAGCAACATTAGCAACAGCAACAGCAACAATAGCAATAGCACAACGATTCCGATATCAGAAATAGCAACAGCAACAACAACAACGTCAACCATAACTAAGCAGTTAGATCAAATAAAAATTGCAGCAACCGATAGACAAACAACAGCAGCAACAAAAGCTGACGCTGAAACAGCAACAATTACAACAACAGCAACAACTACAACAACTTTAAAAGCTGCAGCGACCGTCCATCAAGCAGCTGCCAGCATCAGCAACAACTATAACAACAACAACAACAGCAACAACTTCAACTAGATCGGCAATAGCAACTGCAACGACCAACAACCGGCGAGCAGTTCAAGCCCAGCAACAACCAACAACAACTAACAACCAACAATTGACAGTCAACCAACCATCAGCATGCAACGTCTACGCACGACTTTCACGCGTTCGCGAACTCCAACGGGCGCCGAGATGAAAATGCAGAATAGCCTCGAGGTGCCCAAGCAGGTACAATGTCGTTAGCAGTTTCTTCTATCGATAAGTTATCGAACGACTAGAGCTTAGCTGTCGATAATTTATCGATAATATATCGTTAATATATCAGCTTATCGATACGTTAAAGTGCATAAGCAACAGCCCTTTGATCGATAACTGCTCATATATGATCGATAATTTTGTGTTGTGTTATCGTTATTTTTCTGTGCATGCGAAAATCTTCTAAATCAATTTATCGTTTATCGCGCGTTTTGTTTTAACTTTTGCAAAGCTTTTCGTTTGCTTATCGATAACCTGCAGCATACTAATCTGAGCCAATAGCAGTGCTGCATGTTCGATAACTTATCGTTTTCCTTTTAGCTTTTGTTCTTGTTTCTGTGCTTTTGATCGGCACACCCCTCTCGACTTGTTGGTGTCTCTTGCCTCTAAGTATGGGGCAGCTATGTTATACTCTCTCTCTCTCTCTTTCTCTCTCTCTCCCTCTCTTTGTCTTTGCGCGTGCTGCTTACCCGCAGGTGCGCTCTGCCTCGTTTGATGAGATGCAGCTGGAGGCGCAGCGCATGTCGGCTCATCTGCTGAAGCAGCAGTCATCCTCGTCAGCGGAGGAGCGGTCATCGGAAGGCGGCTATCTGCAGGTGCCGCAGGCAGCGCATGCGCAACGTTCGCACAGCTTTGACTCGGCAGCTGCCTCGGTGGGCAGCGACGATTCTGGCGCCTTTCTGGAGGTGCCGCGCCGCTTGAAGGCGCGACGTAGCTCGTCGACCAAAACGCCGCCGCCATGCATCCATTGCTACTATGTGGAGCAGTACGAGAAGCAGATGAGCGCCGAGCAGCGCTACTTCATTGACCATCGCGAGCTGACAACACTCAGCTACAGCAACACCAGCTCCGAGGCTAGCGATGATGAGGACATAACCGAGGCGCTCGAGGATGACGAAGACGACGAGGCCGACGGACCAGCAGAGGGCGATGCAGAAGCCGACGCGGATGCCGATGTGAATGCGGATGGAGATGCTTGCGCTGAAGCGGATGCCAGCGGTGGCACAGAGCTAGACGATGATGCGGCCGCTGAGATGGACATCCGCATGTCCAATCTGAGCATGGGCAGCAGCATTGAGGAGTCACGGGCGCGTCTGCCCAGGCAAATGCGTCGCCATACGATCGGCAGCTCGGTGACAACCTCCGAGGATGAGGGCCTGGAAGGATCTGACCATGGCTCGCCGCACTTCGGCAACACGCTGCTGCCGCCGCAGCCAACCACGCCCTGTGGCATCACCTTTACGCTGTCGCCGACCAACGGCGATTATCCACCATTTCCGACCTATGCGTTTCCCATTGACCCCAGCTCGCCGCCGGTCTCGCCGTTGGCCACGCCCACGCCTGCATCAGCGTCCGTGGTGCGCTCTAGCCCGCTGCTGGAGCTGCCGCCATCGGCCACCGGACATATGCAGCTGAGCGCAACAGCAGCCGCAGCAGCTGCGGCACTGACCCTGCCCGCTGTTGGCAACAGCGGCGGCACCACCATCAACGCAAGCAGCATTTGCATCAGCGCCGATGTTGACGAAGCCGGTGTCGCGATGGGCGTGCCACCGGGCCGGGCAAGACGTCGCTCCATTTCGCGGCAGGAAGCCATCTTTGTAGAGCCCACTGGCAACTCGCTGGAGAATGTGTCGCACGAGGAGGTGGACAACACCAAGTCATCAGTGGACACGGCAGACTCACTTGATGAGGCCTCCACGATGGCCACTTGCGGCTCGCCAACGGCCGCCAATGCAGCAGCTGCGGCCAATGCTGCCGCGTCAGCACATCATGCCGGGTTCGTGGTGCGGGACATTTATCTAACTGTGCCGGATCTGAAGCGAGACCGTGCCGCCTCGGTGGACTCATGCTTCACGAAGCTGTCGTCGGGCGGCAAGACCGAGGAGCTGCAGCCCTCCGATGATGGCTGCTTCCTAACCGTACCGAACATCAATGCAACACGATCCCGTTCCGTGGACATTGTCCTGCCCACCGACGAGCAGGCGCGCTACAAGGCTCTCGCCATGACAGGCAGCGGCGGCGGTGGCAGTGGAGCAGCCGCTGGCCTCTATGCGGATGGGTAAGGCGCTCTCTTAACCTGCACACATTGTTTGTTTCTTATGTTTTCGTGTTGTCTTCTGTTTCCTTCTGTTTGCTTCAGTTAGCTATCGATATATCGATAAATAAATAACAAATTGCTTGCAGCAAGGCAAACTAATTGAGATATAAGAGATGTTTTGTGAGCAATCATCGACAGCTGCAGGCTTAGCAATTTATGTTTTTTTTTTTATGATTAGAACTAAGATTACTGATCAATAAATATCGATATTTAGATAACAGCACTTCAATTATTAATAATATGGCCTGGCTAATCGGCACTGCAACCGATATAGTCGCTGAGCTAAGCTGAGCCACATTAGCATTATCATCATGCTCGACACGTGCTTACCCAGTGGAGGGACATGTGATGCCAGCGGCCGGGTGGGGCAAGTCTTGCGGCTTTAAGCCTAATTAGAAAAAGAGGTTCGGCTAACTGGAAAGCGCAAAGTTAGAGCCGCATTTCATAATTCACAGGCGGCGCGCGGTCATTGACTGGACTGCCGGCTGTGCTGGCCGCAACGGAATCGAGTCGCAGTCAAAGCACGAGGCACACAGGGTGTTTCGGCTGACGCATGTATAAATTATGGCGGCTGTTGTTGAAAAAGCGGCTCAGCCAAGCGATTTCCTTGAATTACAACAAAAGTAGCTCATAAATAACATTCAAACAAAGTGTCCTGTTGCCCAAAATGACAGCTAAACGAACAGGCGGACGGACAGATACTGTATACGACCCGTATATGCCCGCATGGCCAGCTAGTCCGGACAGCTCGGACAGTGCGGACGGCAACCGCTTCACGCTGAGTGTCGCTCGAGTGTAGCCAATTGTGGGCAATTTGTAAGCGGGCGAAACGCTGAGCTTGGGGGCGTGGCAGCCGCTGTTGCCAAATATGGTTAAGCCGTTGTAGAAACTTGTTTAGATAGATTGATGATTATGAGTTTTGCGACAGGCATGCAAGTTAATCAGCCTGAAAAAGACACAACTTTCTGATGGATAGCCAAGTTAAGCGGCTAGTTATTTATTTTTTTTTTTTGCCTCGTCCCTCTCACTCAGTTTGTCAGACATATCTGGAAAAGTTTGCCTGCAGATAGATTTCATACTTTTGACTGAATCGTAGTTATCGTATCAAATCACAGCTGCGTCGAGTGAGGACAAAGAGCTTCAAGCTTTAAGTGAGATTAATAGTAGGCCGAGCTGCATATTAAAATGTTTTCTGAGGTTAAGTTTTAAATTCAAAGCACTCGAGTTGGACTTTTGTTTTGGCTCAGACACGAAGCCTAAAGATTAAACTGTACAAATCATGAGTTTCCAAGCTCATGGGTGAGCTGCTTAAAGCTCACTTAAAGCTTAAGGCTTACTACTAACTGTTTGCTGTTGTTCTTTGTGTGCTTTTGTTTACACATTTGATTTTTATGTTAAGTTATTGACTTTGTAGACATTCTAAGGCTTCTTCCAATTTACTAAGATTTCCCTTTTATCTCCATTGCAGGTACGTAAATATTATGGTCAACTGAATTTATATTGCCTATAGCCAGCAAAAGAGAACAAAACCACGGTCAATTTGCACAGATAAGTATTGTGAGCTGTTGGCCCTAAGCCAGGCCGTACAAAGGAGAAGATGAAGAAGAAGAAGAGGGACATAGTAGTCGGTATTGTATTTACACACGAGAGATTTCCTTTTTAATTTCCGATTCATGTGGTTGCGTGGTGCACGAACATATTGGGTAGGATGTTCATTTATGAGCGGACTTCTATATAAATATTTTCTTTTTTGTAATCTTGATTTACTTGCTGTTGGGTCTATTAGCAAGCTGGCCGGCTGGGCATTTGGCTTGCGCCCCCAAGCGGATGCCAATGGCCATCATAAAGTTGATTTTTGATTTACGATGCCCAAGCGTGACATGTTATTGTCTATCTGCACCACCCAGCCTTTAGTATTGTACTGTGTGCGTGTGTGTGGGTGGATGGGTGGATGGTTGGGTGGTTGGGTGGTTGGCCCCTCCAGCCATTAACTGGACAATGATATGTTTAATTTTTTGACCTTTTGCTCAATAAAATGGAAAATATTATAAAATCATTCAATCATGCGGCGCATGTCAGCATTGCAGCCATTCAGCCAACCAGGCAGCCAGTCAGTGGACCAACCATTTAGTTTATTTTCTTTTTTTGGCTTCGCTTCCCTCTTTTCGGTGGCTAAATGCGGCTCATTCATGCGATTTCGACGGCCATCATTGCGGCTGCGTTTTTTTTTTGCTGTTTGGCTCCCTAGGGCAGCCACAACGATAACAATAATAATAACAACAGCAGCAACAAAAACAACAACAACAGCAAACAGCAAACAGCAAACACAAAGTTAACTTCACTTTTATGACAATGGCGAAAATAATTTTATGAAAATTCTCCCCAGAGGCGCAGGGAATTGCAGGCATCTAAATTACCATAAATACCAGAGGCGCTGTGGGAGCATTTGAAAAGTGGGCGGGCTTATTATAGCTGCTGACCCGGCTATTAAGACGGCATTAACAGCCAAGAGCTTGCACACAGCTCAATGCTGTTAATCTTCAGTCAATGCTCAGTGCAACAGTTGTGAATAGCTAAAAAGATAAGCGATAGATAATCAGCAATTAGTGTTCGGATCAAACAATCTATCTTCGATGTAGAGACGTAGACAGCTTAATGGCTAATTGAATTGAACTAATTGACTGAATGCAACAGTTGAGAGAAGTTTGTGTTAAGCGAGTCCACAAAATAGGATGGAACTCGGCAGGCCACGGCCAAAAGGATTTGACTGAATAGATTACGTGATAGCTGATAATCTAATAATAAAATAATATTCAAATAATTTATATCATATTATATAACAGTAATATATATTGAACTAAACTAAAGGGGCTCACAAAACACTTTTAAATATTTTTACAAATTCTTTGAAGCGCAGAGTAAGACTTGCAAATACCTAATGAATACCATTGAGTTCTAATATATACTAAATCTTTATGTTACCACGCCCAATATATATTTATATATAATTAGACTAGATCTCGCTCCTAAAGGGGCTCAGGTAATATTTTGAAATATTTATTACAATTTTTAGAGAACGATTTAAAGCGAAGAATAAGACTAGCTGCAAGTCTTATTCTTCGCTTTTAATCGTTCTCTAAAAATTGTAATAAATATTTAAAAATAAGTAATAATGAATACTGAATTTTTACATTATCATATATATCTATAAAAACATGTCATTTGAAATATATTATCTCGAAAGCCTGTTCCAATTGCCACATTCTAGTTTTAATGCTATAAAATTGGCCTTGCCACAGTCAAATAGTTGCCATTAGTATGGCCATATAGAGCTCAAAATACATAAAAAAAACTACGCACAATATTGATTTATACATTTATATATATATATATATGTCTATATATATAGTTATAGATATATATCTATATATTTATAGATTTCTATAATTACATATTCGTTTCAGTTGAGCGATCTCAGAAATATTTTGCATTGGATCCAATATTTAATAATAAGCGCGCAAATGGTTTCGCTTGACTGTGAGAGATCATGTGATTCGACTATAAATTATATTCCCATAACATTCGCATTTAAATCAAATTTTCGTATATTTCACTTGAGTGAGCAATGATCCATAATGTTGATTGGATGGCTTCAATACGTTTGATCCATCATCGAATTTGTGGAACTAATGATTGGCATGAATTCGAAAAGTTATACACGTTTGATTTGGAAATCCTTGATCGGCCTGTGACGTCGCCTATCTGATATTTTCCAAGATTTCATCGCGCGTGCGTTCATGTCTGTGTGCAGCATATCGCTGCACTCTAATAGACTGCTGATGGCCACTCAATTTTTCGGCTAGACCATAAAAATGTCTATCGTAATGCTGTCGATGCTGCTGGCCGTGGCCAGGGCCAGGCGGCGCGGGGCAGGGCATTGCTGCGGCTGGAGTTCCAGTTCCGGATTGCTGACGCACACCGCAAATAACCAGCGCAACAAGAGCCAGCTAAAACAACAAGCCGATTTCTGTTTTTTGCTATTCCATACCCTAGGCTCATTAACCCTCTAACAGGGAGTATTGCGTTCTCCTTCACGTATTGCAAATTGTAGATTAGAAGCTTGGGGCATTCAACAGAGACTAAATTTGATCTATGCATTGGTGCCTCCTTTGCTGGGTATTTGTGTGAGTAGTATTGACATTAAGTGCTCATGAGCTATAAGTATTTCGGTGCTTGCTACAGGGCATCAGTTAGTTGGGCAGTCTAGGGGCTGCGCATGCCTTCACTTGTCTGGGAACTACGTCATCAACAATCGTCAATCGTCAGTCCGTCAGTCGTGTGTGTACACGCCGTGGCGCTGGCGGTGGCGAAGGCGGGGACAAACGCCAACAACAAAGGCAACAAAATTGAAATGCAAATTGAAGGCACAAAAGCGAAAAATGCCAGCGAACAATCAAAGCGAGACAAAAGCAGCGCAGCGCAGCGCGCAAGTAGCAGAGCTAAAAATGTCACCATGGAAAAATGAAAGCAGCAGGCGCAAGAGATCCCACCAAACTCACAAAGACCCCCAACCACCCACTCACCCGCACGAACACGAGCAGAGAGAAGACAGACGTACGCACACGGCAGCCACTAGAAAACGTCACACAAAACTCACCACAAGACAGAGGTGACAAAGCGCACAGCTTGGCGATCTGTTGACGCTGGCGTCGACGTCAACGGCAGCGCTGATACCAACGGCGGACGGTGACGGCGGCGCCGACGCTGACTGCCGGCCGCTGCTGCTGGCTGCTGCCGCGTCTGCCGCTGCTCGACGGCCGATCGCTGCCTCAGTTGCCGTGTGTGGTTGGACGCCGCCAGCCAGCAAAAAGAACGTGAACGTGAACCGTAAAGAGTCGCAGCGCAGCGAAACGAATTAGCTCACGCACGCACGCACGCACGAATGCACGGAGAAGGCACGCGCCGGCTCGCGAGCATAACAAAAGAAATATCAAAAGTTCTAACGAATATATATATATATTATGGATAGACCAAAGTGGCAAATCTATTAAGTTATTAAGTGTGTGCGCTGATTGGAATAATTATGCGTTATTTTCTTTATCTTTATAATATATATAGATACATATATACATATATATGTGTGTGTTTTGTTTTTGTTGTTGTGCAGTGACTGCGACTGTGACTGGGCTCAAGCAGAGGATCTGCGAGCAGCGGATAATTTAGATAAAGCAGCAAAAAACACAAATTGCATGCAATTTTGTTATCAACTCTTTGTATTTGTTGTTGTTGTTGCTCTTTTAATCCGCTAAAGTGAAAAATGTCAAATCAAAACAACAAAAAACACAAAATGTCGAGGGGCAGTGGGCGCTGGCCGGTGGGCGTGCCGCTTGCTGTGCTGCTTAATTGACAAAATTTCAACATTTGATATTTCACAGAACATTCGGTCAATTGACTCGCCTTGCCGGGGCAATGTTTAATTTAATTAATCGATGAACTTGAAAACAAAAGAAAAACACAAATGAACACACACACACCTCAGCAACACACGCACACTAAAAATAAGCAGATGATTCGACTGCCTCTGAGACATGTAAACAAACGCACGCAGTGTTGTAAAGTGCTATAAAGAGCTCTACGAAGCGATTCATTCCTGGTGATATGGCCACATTAGGCATGAACACAAAGCCGGTTAGGTAGTTTCCGTTAAGCTTGGAAACCTTTTTGATCAGCAGCCAGCCCAACCCAGTTCATTCAACTTTGATTAGCCTGAAGGCAATAATTTATACAATTATTTCATTATTTTATTGTTCACATTCAATCAAACTGCAAACTGAAACATTTAAGACAGTTCCATCGAAAACGCCGCAGCCACTTAATCTTCAGCACGTCTCATCCTTGTGATCTCTTCAAGACTTTCACTCTTCAAATGTGAAATAATTTTGTATTTAATAATAAATATTGAAGCATCACAATTGCAATTTAAATATAGGCATATATGAAGCCTAAAGAGTTTACTTCAATTTCTATTTCAATTTCAATTACAATTTCATTTCAATAGTTGAAAAAGAGAAAGAAAAAAGTTGTCGACTTGAAAACTTCCTAAAGTTGATTCCTAAATAATAAAAAGTCAGCATAGTTCGAGCTCTTAAATTACTATTAAAACTTATTGAAAGATTGTCATAAATCTATAAAAAAAATATATATATATATATATATATATATATATACATATACCCTAACTAAATTGAGCTCATTGCTAAGCAGCTCTCAAAATAGTTTTCAACTTGAATTTCTGCAACCGAAAAGTTGTTGATTTGAAAATTGGCAAATTTGATGCATAAATCACACGAATTCGACAGACTCAAAGCACTTTTATGCAGGAGAGCTATATTTAACAAGCATCTTATAAACAATTTCGAGCGCTTTAATCAATTCTAGAGCAACTATTCAGTGGTCTAGAGTTCAAGGAGATTTGTCTGTTGCTTTCGCAGTTGAACTGGGATGATTTAATTTGCATTTGGCTCAGGTGTGGCACTGTGTGGCATGCTACAGTCTACCTTTTGCTGCTGCCCCTGTGGCTGAGTGTGTGCAACACTTTGTGGCTTGTGTGTGGCGCAATGCTGCTGCGGTTGGCGGCGCAATAGTTTTGCGGTGC